TATTGCTGCTCGGAGTAATGACATTTGCCTAAGTCATTTTAGAAACATTTTAAAAAGTAGGCAAAGCCAAACCTCTTTGGATAGATATTTTACCAAGCGACCTCTATCCAGTGAAAGTGCTGGTGGAAGTGAGGGAAAGAAAGCAAAAAGCAGTGAATAAAAAATTTTTAAAAATATATAAAACAGAAAAGATGATAAATTTAGTGTTAAGTTATTGTTACATTCTGTAAGTTAAGTTTTAGTATCATTTCCCTTCTCTCTCTCTCTCCTTCACCACCAGTTTACACCTCCACCGTCGTCTATCCTCAAAGGTAAAGTGCAAATAAAACTACATTTTTTTCTTATCAATTATTATTCTATTGAATTTTATGGTTATTTATACATTTACAACTACAAAATGCATTTTTTAGTGTTTTCCTTACTAAAGTTTTTTTTTCAATGTACTACTTAGCTTTAATTTGAATGTGTTTTTCGTGTTGGAACGGATTATTTGGTTTTACATGTAATTGTATGGGAAAAAATGATTCACCTTATGACATTTTCATATACAATCTCAGTTTAGGAATGGATTAATTTTATATCCTGAGGTACTACTGTAATGGATAATTTTCTGAACATGGAATGCCAGTTGGTATAAATTAAAATAAAATTACATATGAATATGTAGATAAATAATGAAAAAATAAAATTAGATATAAGGATAAATGATGAAAAATAAACATAAATAAAACTAAAAAATTAATAAAAACAATATAAATAATAAAACAAATATATACAAAAACATGTAAACATTGTATAAGGTTAGCATCCTGTAGATGTATGGAGAACTCACGTGTGGTTATGTCAAATTCAAAACAAAGTAGGCCTTCCATCCCACAATGTGTGTGTTGATATTTTTATAATTGATCAATGACCCTATGTCACAAAATTGTAAATCTGTAGAGCCTTTGCATAATGTATATGATGTCTATTTCTAATACTTCTGATAATTTTAGAATGTTACCAGTAAAGTATTATCAGAAGTATCAGAAATAGACAACACACACATTACATGGAGGTTCTATACATTTACGAGTGTGCAACAGAATAATTCCATCAATTATAAAAAAGATCAATATCATCTCTGTGGCATGGAAGGGTCTGCTTTGAGTTGAACTTTGCATAACCAATAGTGACTTGTCCGTATATCTATGGCATGCTAACCTTATATATTTGTTTTATTACTTATATTGTATTTTATTATTTTTTTAAGTTTTATTTATGTTTATTTTTCATCTTTTATCCATGTATCTAATTTTACTTTTTCATTATTTATTTATGTATTTATATGTAATTTAATTTTAATTTTTAATTTAAATTAACTGGCACTTCAAAGGAAAATTATCCATTATATTTATTTCGTTAAGTTTGAATTTGTATTCAACCTGAGGATGGTCTTAAAAATGACCAAAAACATTTATAATTAAATTGTTTTCTGCTGATTTTAAAGGTTTTATGACTATCTATTTCTGTTTACTTCTAGTAGCACAGAGGTTATTTTAAACATTTAACAAAAGGAAATAATTTTTAAATTTAAGATAGTGTAATTGTTGATTAAGATAGTGTAATTGTTGAGTAGTCTTGTAATGATTTTCAGTCACATTTATTGATATATTTTTTTATAGATATCTGTGATTATGACTGTTTTGAAAGTAATAATTATTGTATTCCATTCAATTTTCAGTATGGACACATCAGATCTCAGTGTAATATAATGCAATCGTCTATTGAAGCTGTATGTGTTGACCAAGATTTATCAAGTATAACAAAAGGTATGATTAAGAGAAATTTGTATAAATTTTATATTTTTGATCAAATGGAAGTTTTTATTAGAATAATAGTAAATAAATGGAATTATTTTAAAGTAATAATAATAATAGGTGTTTATTGCATGAACCTTAGTTTGTTACAAGAGGATTAAACTATAATTTAAAAGTGAAGTTATTATAATAATTTTTTAAATATTACTAACTTAGTACAAAATAATACAAAATAAAATACACAGTAGTAATTAATTTTTGGAAAACACTAAATTAATTATCTTTCTAGAATTTAAATCTCATCAAATAGTTTTTTCTATGTGAGAGTCGCACTCTTTCGTGAATTATCGAGCTGCAATAATTTATTTCTTCTCATTATTTTTCCTTTTCCCTTCAATTTTTATGTTACTTCAAGAAGTGACCTCTTGAACTTTTTTAATGAGAGAAGAAAAACACAACCCACAAGTTTCCTAGGTCGTACGATGTTACAAACGAAAACGCTGACAATATAAGGAACAATCTAAGGTGCAAGACTAACTCTGACCTTAGTCACCTCCAGCATTTAATTCCATTAGTTTGACAACTGATACCAAATTTATGAGATGGAAGAAGTGACGTTACTGGATAGAAGTAATAAATCTATAGAAAGGTTTCAAGTTTTGACAAGTAACATAAACACATCCTGGATGCAAGTCAACCTTTAACAAGTAACATAAACACATCCTGGATGCAAGTCAACCTTAGATGAGGTTGCATCAGGTTTTGTATTAGTCAGTCCCTCTGGGACGTGTATAAAAAGGGCTTGGACGAGGCCTCCGGGCAGACATCACAAGCGGACAACAGACCCATACTGCCATTCCGTCCGTCGTTACCCTTCCCTTTTCGCCATAATTGTTGTCTGTCTCTCGCTGTATCCCAATCTGATTGAAAGGAGAGGACTGCCGATTTAGGTGCATTCTAACGATGACCCACACTAGAAAGTGGAACCCGTGAGGTAACACACAGACAAATTTTGACCCCCTCATTTTCTTGTCTCTTTCACTCTCTCTTATAGATTGAACTTAGGCTAGTTAAACTTCGATGATATTGTGCCTTATAGAGGCTAGACTTTAGACGAATTATTGACGACTGAATATCTTGTTGCGATATAGAAATATTTTGGATTATTCCCTTTTTGTAGCCTTTTGATTTGTACTAGTTTGTATAGCTTTAGATAACTAAATATGTTATTCTTATATATATATAATTATGTGTCATCCTTGAGTACAATCAACATCTTGTCACGATTTTGCGATCCTCCCCACTCACATTTTTTGCCCTCTGAAAGACATTCTCTGACAGAACCCCGCTGGTAAGTGGGAATCCCCTCGGTTTTCACATCTACTTCTTCAAATTTCACACAATGTAAAAATATGTTTCCAAGTTTCATAAATTTACATGCAACAATTACTACAAATTTTGTTAGAATTTATTATTAGTTTACTATTATGTCAGAATATAATTTTGACCACATCTCAGTTGAAGAATTAATTGTTTTACATAATAAGTTGTCCATAAAAGAATAGTCCTTGCACATAAAAGTTGTGTTAATACTATAGTATAATTGTGAAAATGCTTATTCTTTTCAGGCAAAGATCAATTTTCTTGTAAGCTTTGTTTGTAATACACTTTTAGAATTAATGTTTGATAGCTTTCAATCAAATGAGATCTTGAGACAATCATAAGACTAATGTCAGACGAGCGTGATTTCATGTCCATCAGTTTTTTACATTCAAATTCAATTCAAAATTTAAATTATTTTTGAAATTTACCTAATTTAATATTACCAAATTAAACTTTGCAACAAATATGTTCTACATAATTATATATTAACCCATTATTCAATTAATCTTGCTCCAGGCTTGCTTGTTATTATAATAAACTTTTTTCTTTAGATTATAATAAAAAAACTTTCCAAGCATTTGATAACACATCTGCATCTCTTATATTAATGCACTCTTTCTGCTGTTTTAAATATCTGTAATATCTCCAAAAATTTAGTTCCTTCTTTATTAAAACTCTTCATAAGAAAACATTTGTAATTTATTGCTTACTTTTACTATGCACTGGTTATTGGTTATAAAGTGTCTTATTTTACTTTAAAAAATCTAATTGCCTCTGCTTAAAAGTACCCAAAAGAAATTTTTGGTACCTTTCATATATTTGCATGCCATTTTATAGATTAGCAATTTTACGGTGTTCTTATTTTTATCACATATTGCAAAATATATTTAATTTTGATTCCTTTTTACATTTTTCTTACGTTCAGTTTAAAAATATTTGTAAAAGAAATTTTTACCATGCTTTGTTCTATTGTTTTATGATAATTGAATGTAACTTTTATCCTTTGATTTAGAAAGTCTAGTCCTAAGTGAAATTATTTTTTTTTTTTTATTAATTACCAATATCGTAGAAATGCCAGATTCCAAATGTTGGAATATTTGTATATTGCATAAAAATTTTTTTGATGATTTAGAGCAAGAACAATTTCCATTTATCATAATAAGTGATTGCTACACAGGAATGACATAAAGTAATACAGACTGTTAGGGGAGATGGGCCTCACTCGAAGGTATAGCCCATAAAAAAAGAAACGGAAATAAGGAGAAAAGTTGAAGAGATTAGGGTGAAGGGGAAATACAGGTAGATATAAAAGGTAGGACAGGACCAACGCCCCCATGGGGACTATAATCATATGTATCTCTTTTATTTTCAATTCCAAACAGCATTTATACAAATTTATACAGAAGTTTACATTGTAGACGTTTTGCAATAGCCAAAATCGATATGAAGATTTTGACAATTAAAAGTGCAAAAGAGTACTATATTATGAGGAAATAATAAGGAATCAACAAATACATACATCATTTACAAAATGAAAGTATTCCCAAAATTTGAAAAATGTAACCGGTCACATTGTGTTGCTGTTTACAACTGAATATTTTTTGAAAAATTTATATAAGTATGTATACTGCTAATGAATATTTGCATTAGATTACAAAATAAAATTATTATATTATTAAAAGGTGGCAGTGTGAACTATGTTTACTATGCTAATTTGTCCCGACAATAGAAATGTTAATTCAATTCTGCTTATGTGAAGCTTATAATAATAATAATAACTCTCCCGTGGTCACCACCTGGTCGTGGTGGGAGAGCCCAGTAAATTTACTGAACCATAGGGCAACGCAGGCTGGAGCACAAGCTCCTGGTAGGGACACCCATGCCAGTAAGGTCTATGGGGAGAAATGAAGCTAAGAGTGACCACACACCCACATTCTGTGGAGATANTGGGCGAGTTCTGTGTACTTGCTAATTTTTTCAGTGCACGTGTTTTGTACATTGTGAGTGTTTGGAATGGCTATGACTATAATGTATACTTTTCCTTTAACAATAATGCCGTGCCAGTCATCTTTTAACTGCTTTCAGAGAAAAGTTTTGAATTGAAATAATATGACTTCTGGTTTGCATCAGAAGTTTGTATATAGTTAATCGGATCCTCCTGCCCACGGTTTCCATATCTAGTCTCAGATTTCATAGGTCTACAATTTTTCAAATTACAGCACAATTATTGCCACATTACATGAATGTCTATACATAAACAAATGATTTAATATATTATTTGTAATCACAAAATAAAATGAAAAAAAAAATAAATGCAATTATTATGAATTACTAAATCATTACATTCTATTTTTCTGTTGTTATTATTGTTCATTTCTCAGTCTTTGAAAACTTCTTTTAATATGGGATATTTGTTATTGGAAAAGGCATTATTTTTCATTATGATATGGCCATTTGTATTAATAAAGAATAAAAAACCATTAAAAAATATATATATAAGATGCAAAAGATAGAAAAATGTGTGGAAGTGACATCATGCTCCCACATAGAGTTCAGCAGTGTCCATCCACACATTGAAATCAGGAACTGATAAAGCTGGCTTCAATGCTCTTAAAGTCATGCATATTCTACCACTGTGCCAATTAACAGTAACAGTCTGCATTCTTATGTATAATATCTCCTTGCAATATTTATCTGAGGGCAGCCCCAAATATGGTAGAATGTTTTTCATGAAAAATGATTTTAATTTTTATATTATTACTAGCTGCAAGGATCTGCTTCACTGGGTTTTTATTTGTATGTAATATAGTTTTTTTTTAATATATAAAAGACTGTTTTTCTAAGTAATCTAGAATCTAGCTGCAAGGACCTGCTTCGCTGGGCAAAAAGTAACGATAGTGAAGATTAAGATAATTACATTATAGCTAATGATGACATTCGAAATATTTAACAAAGGGTTCGCTAACAGAAAATTTTTCCTTAACAATTTTTTTTTCGCTCAAATGGTGCATCGGAAGCCTCTAGTTTAGTAGTGTTACAGAATATAATACGTATATTTTAATATTTTTAAAAGAATNAGTAGAAGCAGTTCTTCCTGTTAAGCCTTAATGCTTTCCCTCTCCCCCCGCTGGGGAATTTCGAAAAATCCCTACTTAGTGTGCATTGCCATGGCATACCCTACCACAACGCAGATAAAAACAAAATATCGCATCTAAAATAGTACAGTAGAAGCCGTTCTTCCGGTTAAGACTTAAAGCTCTCCCTCTCCCCCGCGGAGGAATTTTGAAAAATCCCTTCTTAGTGTGTGTTTCCATGACGTACCCTAACTGTGTACCAAATTTCACCTCTTTAGGTTCAGCGGTTTGCTCTGGGCAATGATGAATCAGTGAGTGAGTCAATCAGTCAGGAAAAGCAATTATATATATATAGATATAAGAAAAATGTAAATATTTGCATAATGAAATTAATTGTAAATTTATTCAACATAAATTGACATTTGTATTCTGCTTTTATCCATATGTAAAAATGGAATTTAACAGAATTTTTAAATTTTACTATTTGAGATGTGCCATATTTTTGTTTGTTTTTATCACAATCATTATCATTAGTTGATTCACATAAATCATATGAAGCAGGGATGTATAGTGCTAACCTTCAATCATGTTTCAAGGTAATGGAGTTTAAATGTTTGAAAAAATCCTAAAATTGTATGAATAAGTATGTGTTAATATTTTTGCTCTCCAAACTTTGTCTATTGATGTGGCTGTCATCTCATGCTCAAAATAGAAAAGAT